CTTGATGTATAATATATATAATTATTAATTCAATAATTTCATTAAATGAAAATTTATATTTTATATTTATGCTGATTTGGGATTGACCATCAACCCACTTGCATGTATAATATATATAATTATTTTAATTCAATATTCAATTAAATGAAATTATATTTTATATTTGCTGATTTATAAAGAAAAGCATATAGTATTTTTTATCTAATGGGAAAAGAACATTCCTCACGTTAATTGGATGTGTTGTTTTACCGTTAATTAAAAGGTATAAGAGATTTTTTGCCAAATGTTTTTTTTTTTTATTAAAAAAAAGAAGAAAAAAAAAAGGCACATTTTAGGTTGGCTTTTAACTTGGATTAAGTTAAATCATACTAACTTCATCGCTCATTCAATTATAAGCGATCTCGATTATTTCTATATTATTAATTAATGTGAAATTCATTTTAAAAAAAATAGCATTAATAAAAAAAAATCGTAGAATTTTATGAATAGAGATAAATTATCAAACGCTCTCCGTTTGATCGTTTATTTTTGTTTGTATGTATGATAAATTCTCACAATATGAAGAGCAACTTTTTCATATGATACTAAATCCAATCACTAATTTAATAAACATTAAGATTTATTTTTAATTTATTTATTTGATAAGTTTGGGATTAATTAGCGTAGACCGTATTGTGTAATCATGTAAGGAAGGCCAACTAATCCAAGGTTAGCAAGAGAATTAAATTTCTTTCTTCCTTTGGTAAAGAGAATGAGTCAATTTCAAACCAAAGAGGCAAAGAATGAAATAAACAGTGGCACAGAATATCCCTAATTCGAATAATAATTATAATAATTATAAAATAAATAATTAAACCTTCTTAATTAATACCTCGGTGTCACATTTTGACTGGTACAGTGGAGGGAGGAGCATGAACTGCATGGCCATCCATGAAAACGTCATACTGTCTACCATATTCCAATCCGTCCCTTTCTCAAATTTATTAATTTCAATTAATTAATATATAATTATACATTGGATTTTGTAATTCTTGAGAAGGAAATACAGATGGGAATACCAAATAAAAATTTGACAACTCAACAAATACATAAAGCATAAAAAAAATAAACTGGGGCAGGTTTTGTCAAAGCCATAGGAAGCTTCCTTGAAACTTCAATTTATGGCAAAGGATATATTTAAGTGACTGAATTTATCGAATTATGTCCGCAAGACATAAATTTAAACTCTAAAATTTATACATTTTTTTTATTTTAATTTAATAATATTGAGTTGTGTAATTTAATTTAATAATATTGACAAATAAATATTCAGGTTCTCAATGAGATAAAACTCGATAAGTTTAGATGCTTAATAAAATTAAAATTAATTTATTAATTGAGAATTTAAGAGTTATAATCATACATGTTAAATATACATTAGTAAAGTTTAATTAAAGTATAGAGCACCTGAATTTTTTTTTTGTTAAAATTAAGTCTTTATTCTATTTTTATCATAGTAATTTGAATTTATTTTTTACCTTCAACGCATTTAATGAACCAGAAAACTCAATAAGTTTAAAGGTTTAAATATCCATTTTGCCGAATTTATTTGATTCTATTCAGATGCATACACATGGAATCATGGGCATGCATGGTCCATGACATGAGATGAACATGCATATAAGATAATTAATTAAGTAATAAGCAAAGATGTAGATGTAATGAAATGCTTAATTATATACTTAACAATAATAATAGAAATTGATAGTATTAAAATGGTGGGTGAGCAGACAAGTTGTATAAAACGACAGACATCCTCATTCTCAAATGATGGTAGATCCGCATTAATAGGGTTCACGTATACTCATGCAAATTAATTAAATTTTATATAAAAAGACAAGAAAAAAGAGCACCCAAAGTACTGTTAGGAGTTGACTTCACAGGCTAGGTGTTGGAGTGAACCTTTCCAGACTACAACACCATCTTCCTTAATTTCTTCTCCTCCTTAATCTTAATTATTATTATTATTATACTTTTCTTTAATTTGTTAATTAGGATTTGGATGTGTTACTGTTACACTATATATATTTATTTGATCAAAAGAATCTTTAGTTTGATTGTGTATTTTTAATTAAGATATACAAATATGCACAATAAAATTAGAAATTAACGAATTCATTAAAAATAGAACAGAAGTAGAAATTGAAATTAGGTTTAAATTTTAGAAATCTCGATGATTAAAACTTTATTCGCAATATCAAATATTATTTTAAGAGACGTAAATTTGCAATTTTAAATCTTCTAATTAATCTAAAAATGAAAAATTCAAAAAAAGAAGACTATATTTTCGTATAAGCTGGATTCTTGTGAGTTCAATAGAGCAAAAAGGAAGCAAGTTATGATTTGGCCTATCTTCCAATTCCAAAGGGTTAATAAATGCAAAGCTAATACACGTGGGAGGAATGAAAAAGTTCCCTCGTAACTGAAAGAAAAGCATACCTTTGCCTCATTCATACACGCACGCCCAAAAACACTTTCATGTGACAACTATATGGTCGAGATTTATAACCCTCTTTTCCTTTTATTTTTCTTAATATCTACAAAATTTAATTAAACCCTACTAATAATATTAACCTCACATTTCAATATTATATTAAAGAGTTATCTAATGAATGAACCTTTTTTTAATGTGTAACTTATAATTTTGGCCACACCGTCTATCTCATGAAACCCTGTATATACCATTGGAATTTGAATTGTGAATCTGTGAATTTTTAGTTGGAATTTCGAAAAGTCTTTGGTTAAATTCATGTCAGCTACAATTAAGGGGAAAAAAATTGTTCCCTACCCTATGACTTGTATGAAATATTTGATGGTTTTTATAATTTCGGTGTTTGGAGTGAGTGAATTATTTTTTGATTTTTCTATAAGTATTTCCACATTTTTTTACGACGTCTCGTTTTGATTCGTAGCTCTCATTTTCCGTAATTGTTTTGGATGGTTAGATTTATTATTATTTTGATTTTTGACTGCGATTATTATTAAATGAAAATTTTTTTTATTATATTGGTCTGGAAACATTTTGAGATCTATGTTAAGTTTGGGGTTTCACAACCCCTAATTTAACAATTTTGATAATAGGTCATTTATCCTATAATCTCTCTCCCGTGGACCCGCATGTTTGTCTTTCTGTTTCTTATTAGGTTTTGAACTTTGAATATATAGTATTTGGGACCACAACGAAGAATGGTATATACTACATATATAAATTTCACATCAAGCCTTAACCTAATTAAAATCATCATCATTAGAAATAACATTATTTTAACATCATGTTAATTAATTTATTAAATTCAATTTTTGGTAGCAACAGACCGTGACATCAATAACAACGAATTGCATTTTCAGGTAAATTTTACTTATAAAGTTAAAAGGAGATTAGGTTAATCTTATATGCATAAACAGATAAAAATAACATGTGATGATCAATATTTGGTAATCGAGACATAAGGAGAGTAGATAATTCATTCTCTTATCAATAAAATACATGCATGTAGATATTAAATTACATGTAATGTGTGTGTGTGTGTATATATATATATATATATATATGTTTTAGAATGGCAGAGGGCAGAGGAGAATGACGTGTACGTAGTGATGAGCCAGAGAAGAAGAAGATCAGATCCGTGATTTTCTACAAAAAGGCAATTTCTAAATCTTCTTTTGAGTTATAGCAAAGCATCAAACACATGCATAAGCTTCTAACCCATCCACTTTTCTGCAAACCTAATAAGACACTCTGTACCACTCTACAGTGAATTATGCCCCCCAACCCTTCAGACATACACATGCAGCTTCCCCCCTCAAAAATTATTTTGTTCTTTACCATATAATTTTTTCTTTTAATTCAACTTTCATTTATCTTATTTTTCTTCCTTTTTTTGGACCGGATGTGAAAATATTATAATAATTAATTATTGATTTGGATTGGATTTGTATGAACATCAAACCCATTTTATGCACAAGTCACATTATCTTGTCGTTACTAATGTGACTGAACACTACATTCCACATATCAACACTATCTATATTTTAAAAAGATCAAATTAAAAGTTGAATTTATTTTCACACCCATAATTTAATTGTGATTAGGGTTGTGAGTGTTGTTCGGTAAATCCAATCGAATCAAATAAATTTAATTCAATTTGATTTTTTGCTCAATCAATTCAGTTTGGTTTTTACTAAGTTCAAAAAATAAGTTAAAATCTGTATAAAACTAGCTAAAATCGAATTGAATCAATCAAATCAAAATAACAACAATACAAAATGAAGTTTGATCTAGTTATTCTTCTCGCTTTCACTCAAAAACAATGGAGAGTGAAGGTCTCGAATTTTCAACTACAAAATTACCTTCAATAAAGATCAGCAACTCTACATAATTTTTACAGGACTCTAATACTAATCATTCAAAATTAATATATAATTTGTTTATTTTTTGGCAACAAAACGTAGCCTAAATTAACCTCTAAAACAACTAGCTGGAAAAAGGATTTCCAATAAATAACACCAATGAGCTCATGTAGTAACCAAGAAAAAAAAAAGAATATATAAGTAAAAAAAAGAAAAAAAGAAAGATAAATAAAGCACTGTAACATAGATTTTCATCATGCCGTTTATTACATAGTTAAGAGACAACAAAAGTCCACCATAAAGTTCAAGCAAAATTCCGACAAGAAATTTCAAAGTATAAAAACATGAAATTTCTCAATCATAGCTAAAAATAGTAAAATTTCTCCATTTATTTTTATATTTATTTATTAGGTTTTGCTTATTCAACACAAGAAAGGCTTGAACGACTCTTTTCTACCAAATGGAAATGTGTTTCTTGCATTGCATGACAGTCATGCATGCACATATGTATCATCATCATATTGAATATTAACATAAAAAAAAGAAGAAAACATTATAAATACAAACCTTATATATGTATAAAATAATCAATCAAATGGTACGTACAAAAATTTAGGTAAATAATAGTTTACATGTCCCAAAGGAAGAGAGAGACTACCTTGTTTGTCAAGATCTAGGGTTTTTTTCCTATCTATCTCCTCTTTTTTTCTCAAGAACTGCAACTCCAACTCCATCTTTGTACACCACTCTAATACTATTGATTCAAGGCTAATTATAATTTATTTATTTATTTGTATTTTTGTAACAAAAGGTTGGTCTTTTCTCTATCTGATGAATTTTCATTCTCCAAGATCGATGCCTCGTGTTTTCTAAACGACATTTTTTTTTTCATTTTTTTTTTCCTGTCTTGGATTAAGTCGAGGGAAGCTATAATTGGTTAATTAAGTTCAGTTCTAAGTGGCCCTAATCCCTAGCTAATTCATTTTTAGTTCTGTCTTTAACCCTAAAAGCTTTTCTTGTAAAGCTGTGTTTGTCTCTCATCAAAACAAATTTGTAGATTTGGAAGGAAAAAGGAAAATCAAGAACAAAAAAATGCAAGGAAGTGAGCAAACAGGATGCTCAAAGACAAGGGCTTCAAGACAAAATGAAGAAGAGAGCGAAAGTGGAGAGAATGATGAAGATGAAAGTAGGCCAAAAAATGGAGCAAGTTCGAGTAACAGTACTGTTGAAGAGAGTGAAAAGAAACCCTCAGTTAGGCCTTATGTCAGATCCAAGATGCCTAGGCTTCGTTGGACTCCTGAGCTTCATCTTTGCTTTGTTAAAGCTGTAGAAAGACTTGGCGGACAAGATAGTAAGCTTTTCTGTTCATCCATGTATTTCTTTCAATCTTATAAGAAAGACCTCTTCAATTAATTCGTTTATAAACAAGTGAAGGGTCTTTCAGAATATTTTAATTAGTTAGATTTTTTTTTTCTTGATGCAGGAGCTACTCCAAAGCTGGTTCTTCAACTTATGAATGTTAATGGACTTAGCATTGCTCATGTCAAGAGCCATTTACAGGTTTATTTTCCTTTTCTTTTTTCTTTATAAACAGACCCATTTTTCATTTGTAATGATTTAATTTCTGATATATTTTACATTTGATTTGATTTTTTTTTTTTTTTGGGTGACTTTGATTAATTAGATGTATAGAAGCAAGAAGATTGATGACCCAAGCCAAGGTAATTAAAGCTGTTTAATTTACATTTCCTATCTTAATTAATTTCTATTATCTCTAGCTTTCATCATGATCAACAGAAAGTATTTTGGATTGGATTTATAATTACTAATGAAAAAAGGTATGGGCTTTACATGACACAGCCATGTCTGATCATAGACATCTTGTGG